GGCAGCGGTTTGTGCGGCTGCTGAGCATTCTGTGGGAGGCGAAGCTAGCATCAACCGTCGTCCTCCTCCGTGTCCAGAGCAGCACGTGCGAAAAGGACGAGCAGTGGCAGCAGGCAGACTGTCTCTGGGCACCGAACCTTGACCCCATCTCCTACAGTGCTAATATTGACGCGAACGTGAAGGGCGAGCAGCTTTGGAGTGTTCAGTCACACTGCTGAGCGTATTGTGGGAGCCGAAGCTTGGGCCGACTGTCATCAGCTACAACGCTCGGATCAGCAAGTGCGAGAAGGGCGGCTGACATGTGCAGCGGGACGCCGCTGCTGGGCGAGATGGCAAGGCGACGTGTGAGCCGACCGCCATCCGCTACAAAGCTTGGATCAGCACGTGCGAGAGGGGCGAGAGGTGGCAGCGGGTAGGCTTTTGGTTGGAGCAACACGCTGTCCCCTTTGGCATGTTTTCACGCATCATGCTGTAATGGGCTATTGCGCAAACCGTTTCATTGTCTTCAGCCGGCTGGCCTCTCAGCGTCTAGTGTTAGCTGCCCGTCGCAGCGCTCCTCGCTGCAGTGTCGTAATGGGCAAGCTGAGAGGTGTGCTTGGGCCAAGGCTGGCCGTATCCTTGTGCAGATGTTCCCGATGTTCGTGCATAGTGTCACGTTTCTCCCATTCGCCTGGTAACAGATAGGTGTTGTTCCATTAATTCGCAAGTTGTTTACGCAGTTTGTCTATTCGCCGTAAGTCCATCCAGTACTCGTGGGTGCATTGGCAGGTGGCGACCGTCATCTGGTGGGCAGCGCGTGTCGGTTGTGGCAGCACCTTGTCTATAATAGCGAAATTGTTCCTTGTACTGTCACTAATATTGTATTTGTTGCGCGGTTGGTGGAAAGGAATGAAACTTCAGTTTCGCATGATCCTGGTGTGAGTTACTCGTGCGAGGTACCGGCTTCGTTCCTCGCGCTTTCTGATCTTGCCACTCAGTTGCAGTGTTGGGTCTTGGTGCCCGCCTTCCGGTTCGCCTTCTTCGTCGGCAAGCTCAGGGGGTCGTAGCTATTTTGACATATACACCGTCTTGTCCTTATTCCTATTCGCATTCTTATTTATATTCCTATTCCTATTCCTATTCCTATTCCTATACCCATTCCTATTCCTATTCCTATTCCTCCTCCTCCGCCTGCTCCTCCTCCTCGTCTTCCTCCTCCTCTACCTCGGGGTAGTAACCGCTTCCGCTTGCAGACAGTCAAGCTACTCGAGAAGCGGGGACTCCCGCCAGGCGGGACTGCCTTCTTCCCTCAGACAGCTGGGGGGGCAGTCTCGCCCCAGGCAGCTCCCAAGCCACCAGGTGCGGACCTGCACCCATAGTTTCACCCAGGGGCCAGTGGACACTCGGACCCCCTGACGCCCTTATCCTCCTTCTCCTCTTCCTCCTTCTCCTCCTCCTTCTCCTCCTTCTCCTCCTCCTCCTCCTCCTCCTCCTCGTCCTCCCCCTCGCTTCCAGGTTCGGCTACAAGGGAGTCTCGCACGTGGGCCACGGGCACTCGGCCAGCGCCCAGCTGGTGCGGGAGGACTTTGGGAGCCACCTCGGAAGCCGCCGGCCGCGCGCCGCGGCCTCGGCCGCGGCGGCGCCCGCCCCCCCTCAAAAAGGCTGCCGGATCTCTGGCGATACAGGAGGAGGAGGAGGAGGAGGAGGAGGAGGAGGAGGAGGAGGAGGAGGAGGAGGGGGAGGAGGAGGAGGAGGAGGAGGAGAGTCCAGACGCTGACATGAGAGCTGCCTTGGGCTCACGAGGGGTGCCTGTCGGGCCGCTCCTCAAATCTATGTGTCGCGGAGCCTGGTTGTGGCCTGAGCCCGCCAGGGGGCAGAAAGGCACTCTCGTTCCTTACTGTGGGTTCCACCTGGTAGCGCGATGGCTGTGTGTCAAGAGGGGAAAAAACACACAGACACAATTATTCGTCGATTCCCAGAAGATATGCGAAAATATGGGAAGTGGGGGCGAAGGCAAAAACCCAGAAAATATGGGAAAATATGGGGAATCATTTTATTTGTGTGTATTTATTTGTGTGTCCCAGGGCCCCTTCAGTGTGGTCGGGAACTTGTGGATAGGGTGTCGCTCCGCCGGTTCTGGCCCACCTCGCTTCGGTGCAACTCGCTATGCACTTCACGGTCCCCTAGCGTCAACGTTGCGAGCGTTCCCGAGCCTCCCGCCTCGCGGAGCGGAGCAACGCGCTTTCCGCTCGCAGGGCATAGCGTGTCGCCAGTGCCGCCGCGGCGACACGCTATCCAACATCTCCCGACCGTTTATTTGTTTCAATCCCGGCGTTTTGTTTTCGACTTCGGCTTCCAGGACTTGTTACCTGGTCGGCCCTGGGACAATGAAAAAAATACCCAGAGCGAAAGACGGCACCCAGGTAGTCAGGACCCCCTTGGGGCCGCGGATCAAAAAACACATCGGAGGATCTCAGGGCTGGGATCGGAGACTCGATCTGCAGTGCCTCACCCTGCTCTTGGGAGCACGGGCGCCCGCGAGGGCGCGAAGTTATTCGCGCCCTCGCGGTTCGCGGTCTGCTCATTTGCTCTTCGTTCCCCATCTTCCTCCTCGTTCTTTCCTGCCCCTTTGGTGGGGTGGGGGGGGGGCGGCGCGAGAGTGCGAGATTGTTCGCGCAGCGCGAGGCGCGAACTTCTGCGCCCATGGGGGGGACTGCCGCCGTGACGAGGCGGGGCCCCGAGGGAAGCGATGCCCGGCGTCTGTGCGCCGCCCTCGGGCTCCTTGGGGGCCGTCCCCGTGGCCGCCTCCAGCGCTGGAGTCGTCGGGAGCGTCTCCTCCGCCTTGGGACTTGGCATCGCTCGGACGTGCGCATGTCTCCGTCGGCGAGGACCATCGAGGAGCCTCCTTGATCCTTTGGCGAGAAAGCCACGCACGACACCGAAACAAAAAACACAGGACATGGACGTCCGAGCGACGGCCAGGGGAGCAGCCGTGGAGCACGGGGGAAGGGGGGGAGCAGGCGCAGCGCGGGGCGAGATGGGGGGAGGCACGTCGTGGATATGGCGGGGAGGCGCAGGGGGAGGGTGCCGTGCACCAGCCCCGGCCGTATGCCGATCCCTAAGAATTGGCACGCCAAGAGGCGATGACAATCTCAGGGGTTCGCCGTCAAAAGGTAAGGGGATCCCTGAGATGGGCATCGTGATGAGGAGGTGCCCAGCGTAGGGATAGAGGATATGTTCCAGGCTGGTAGTGCGGGAGCTGCACGGGTGCCGAGCCCTCCGGCCCGAGGAGGGCACCGAGGACATCCTCGTGGCTAAGTGCGTGTCGCTGGCCGCCCTGAATCCCAAGGACCAGCAGCTGGCGCACCAGGAGGTGTTCCTGCTGCAGGAGCGCGGCTGGTTTTGAACGTGCGTTTGTCTGTATCTGTTTACAGCAATCTCCCTGTCTATGTGTTTAGATACGTATGCATACCACATGTTTAGTTACCTCCCTCTCTCTCTACACTGTCTACACATGTGTGTTTTGTATGATCTCTAGCTCTCTCTCTATATGTATAACCCTCTAGCTCTCTCTCTCTCTCTATCGCTGTCCTTAGTGTTTCCTTCGGGGCGCCGCGCCTGCGCATGACAGTAAAACGCAGCCGCAGGAACTGTGCCACCCCCTCATCGTGTCTTACCACGACAGCTTCGTCATTGATGGCACGAACATTTTGGTGATCTTGATGGAGTACTGCGAGGGAGGTGACCTGCGGAAGCTCATCACGACAAAGTCGGAGTCTGGCTCGCACTTCTCAGAGGACGAGGTGATGGCCTACTTCGTGCAGATCGTACAGGCCCTCCAGTACATCCACTCGGTAAAGGTCCTTCACCGCGATCTCAAGACATCCAACATTTTCCTCACCACTGGAGACGACGGGCAGTCGATCGTGAAGTTAGGTGACTTCGGCATTTCCCGTGTGCTGGAGGGCACCTGCGATGCTGCAGTGACAATGGTTGGCACGCCGTACTACATGAGCCCAGAGGTATGCCGCAGCGAGCCGTACAATTGGAAGTCTGATGTTTGGGCGTTGGGCTGCGTACTCTACGAGATGTGCATGCTGAAGCATGCGTTCGAGTCATCCTCGCTGATGGGCCTGGTTTACAAGATTGTCAGCGACCACTACGACCCCATCCCCGCTTTTTACTCGCAGGAGCTCAACGACCTCCTGCGGCAGCTGCTGAACAAGCAGGCCGACCAGCGGCCCTCCGTCGAGGAGCTGCTCGGCATCCCATTCGTCTGCAGACACGTGCAGCGCGTGGGGCTGTTCCAATCAGATGGCGTTGCGAGCGTCCAGCGCGGGTCGGCACAGCGCTCCTCCTCGGCCAGGGGCATGAGCCCGCGGCCTAGGGCGCGGGATCCGGCCCGCGCGGGGCTTGTCGGCGGCGAGCCCGGGGGGGAAGTGAGAGGGGGCGGGCCTTCCCAGAAGCCTCGGAAGTCCCCCGTCTTCTGAGAAGTTCTAAGCCTTCCCCGGAGACGCAGAAAACCTCGCAGAAGGCCATAAGCCTTCTGAGAAGCCACGCCTCCTTCTGAGAAGGCCTTCTCCCTCTCACTTCCCCCCTTGCTCGCCGCCGAGCTCGGGTGTGCCGTGTGCTCTCAGGGGGCCTTCTTGGCGTCGGCGTCCATTTGGCGTTCTGCCGCTGCTTGCGCTCCCCCACTCCACTTGTGCTTCTCATGCTGCTGCGCTTCTGCCGCCCCCTCCACTATCTCGGTGCTACCGGGCTCGATATGTTGCCCATGATCCCCGTAGATCGATCTAGGCCTCCTAGGTGGGGTCCGAGCAGATGGGGTCGGAGGATCGCGCCGCATCGCCGATGCATCGACGATGCGGCTCGATGTGGAGCCCGTGCTTCCCCACACCGACGTCGCCGATGCATCGCCGACGTCGCCGATGTATCGCCGATGCATCGCTGATGCATCGGCGATGCGGCGCGATCCTCCGACCCCATCTGGGAGGCCTCCAATCGAAGAACGAAGTCCGGCATAAACATAGACTCGTGGCAGTCCTCGTGGGTTTCCTGGATCTGCGCCGAGACCCCCTGGCGGTGCCTCCGGCGCCGGCCCCGCGGCGCTCCGCGCGCCACGGAGGGCGGCTCAGCTTAGATCTAAGACACCCGCTCGGACCGTCAAAAGTTTACGTGTGTGCTGTTTTTCCTCAGTCAGTGCTTGCACTGGAGGGGTCCTAGCGGAGGTTGAAAGATTTGGCGAAAGTTTCCCGCCGATTTTGGTCGCACACTGGGTTCCCGGGTTCCCGGTTCCAGGTTCCCGGGTTCCCGGTTCCCGGTTCCCGGGCCGATTTCGGTGGGCGGCGAGGTTCCCAGGTTCCCGGGTTTCTGGCCGATCTTCTTATCGATCGGTCTCAGCATCGATCTCATTTCCCACCTCTGTATTGATCTCACCATCGATCTCACAATCGATCTCGCAAGCGATCCCACTAGAGATCGCACGAGCGATCTCGCGATCGATCTTCCTATCGATCTCATTGAATCGATTTCACTCTCGGTCTCACGATCGACCTCTCAATCGCCCTCTATCGATTACACTATCGATCTCATTACCGATCTCACAATCGATCTCAAGATCCATATGACGAATTTTCAAATCATCCACTGGTGGGGTTTTCTCATGTGTAATTTATTAATCTAGCAGATCTTCCGCGGTGGTCGAGGGTACTGGAGGGGTCCTAGCGGATATGGAAAGATTTGGCGAAGTTTCCCGCCGATTTTGGTGGCCGGCTGGGTTCCCGGGTTCCCGGTTCTGGGTTCCCGGGTTCCTGGTTATTGGTTCCGGGCAGATTTCGGTGGGTTCCAGGTTCCCGGGTTTCTGGTCGACCTTTTTATCGATCTCTTCATCGATCCCATTTCAAACCATCCATGGGTTGGGGTTTTTCTCAGGTATAATTCCCAACCATCCTGTGGTGTTGGGTCCTCGTTTTGAAGAGACAGCGCCCCGCGTTCACTCCTTCCTTCCTCCCTCTGCCCCCTCCTCCCTCCTCCCCCTCCGCGTCAGCCACACCCATTTCGGCACACCCCTCACACGTTTCGTGGCCCCATAGGGAGCCCCACCGAGGGCCCCAATGGCTGCGTCCGCATGGCGGCACCGCACCCATTTCGGCACACCCCTCACACGTTTCGTGGCCCCATAGGGAGCTCCACCGAGGGCCCCAGTGGCTGCGTCCGCATGGCGGCACCGCACCCATTTCGGCACACCCCTCACACGTTTCGTGGCCCCATAGGGAGCTCCACCGAGGGCCCCAGTGGCTGCGTCCGGCGGCGCACCCATTTCGGCACACCCCTCACACGTTTCGTGGCCCCATAGGGAGCTCCACCGAGGGCCCCAGTGGCTGCGTCCGCATGGCGGCACCGCACCCATTTCGGCACACCCTCACACGTTTCGTGGCCCATAGGGAGCTCCACCGAGGGCCCAGTGGCTGCGTCGCATGTCGGCACCGCACCCATTTCGGCACACCCCTCACACGTTTCGTGGCCCCATAGGGAGCTCCACCGAGGGCCCCAGTGGCTGCGTCCGCATGGCGGCACCGCACCCATTTCGGCACACCCCTCACACGTTTCGTGGCCCCATAGGGAGCTCCACCGAGGGCCCCAGTGGCTGCGTCCGCATGGCGGCACCACACCCATTTCGGCACACCCCTCACACGTTTCGTGGCCCCATAGGGAGCTCCCTCTCATTTGTTCAACCTGCTTTGCGGTACTCGTAACTGCATATGGTTGGGTCCATCGCCAGGATATTTTTTTTCTTCTGGTAGATCTTCCGCGGAGGTCGAGGGCATTTGCGGCCATCAGCGCCGGCTGCGGTGCCCACCTGGTGACCATCAGAGGTTTGGCTCTGCGAGCACTGTTGTGCACTTCGCGAGTGTGCCCACCCCTCCACCCAATCAGTCTGCCATTCTGGCGGCGGCCGCTGGAACACGGCAAAACTCTCTGCTGGCCTCGCCTGCGTGGCAGGCTCTGTCGCCTCCCGCGCGCCTCAGCCCATGCTTGCCAGGCCTGGCAAGCTGGCCATCCATATTAAGTGTTCGATCATGGACCCCTTGTTGACCGCAACTGTCCAGCTGTCGCTCCGAAAACCGCCAGAAACCGACGAAGACCGCCGAAGACCGTGTCAGGAAACCGCCGAGGACCGCCGAAGAGCCGTCAGAAGACCGCCGAAGACTGGCGACCGCTCAGGGCTGGTGGGTAACAAGGGGTCCAGCACTGAATACGTAACATCCAGCCTGGCCTGCCCCGCCAGCCCCATTCGTCCAGCCAGTCAAGCTTGCCCTGCTGGTGCGGCCGACTCTGCTGGCCTCGCCAATTGGGTCAGCGATGCTGCTGTGACTGCGGAAGGTTCCCCCGCAAGCGTCTGCTCTGGTCTTCACCAGTGCCGCCCAGCTAGGCCTGCCCAGTCCATCTGGCCCCAAGCCAGGCGGCTTCGGAAGCGTTCGAGAGCCCTCCCCCGTCCAGCTCAATCAAATCGGCTGGCCCAAGCAGGTGGGCTGGCCTCCTCACCGTCACGATACCACACTTGGCAGTCACGACGTGCCCATACAGTGTGCGTCGACAGTGCCAATCCAGATGATGTTCTTGGGGAGCCAGCTTCGTTTGTTATTGTATGTATTACACCAGAGAAAGCCCCAATCAGTGGATGGTTTTCGCTGAGGAGGTCGAACGGGAACCCGGGAGCCCGGGAACCCAGCACCCACCGGAATCGGCCCGGAACCAATAACCGGGAACCCGGAACCAGTAACCCGGGGCCCCAGCTTGCTACCAAAATCGGCGGGAAACTTTCGCCAAATCTTCCAACTTTCGCTAGGACCCCTTCAGTGCAAGCACTGATTGGGGAGCCATTCCAGGCCTCCTAGATGGGGTCCGAGTACATGGTGTCGAAGGATCGCGCTGCAATCGCCGATGCGTCGCCGATGCGGCTCGATGTGCAGCCCGATTTGCTTCACGTCGGCGTTGCCGATGCATCGTCCACGTCGGCGATGCACCGCTGGTGCATCGCCGATGCATCGCCGATGCGTCGCCGATGTATCGGCGACGCGGCGCGTTCCTCCGACCCCACGTAGTCTGAGCCCATCTAGGCTTCAGTCGGGCCTGTCCCTCTACAGGAGGAATGTTCAAAAATAGTTAAACACTTGTATGGGGACGATTTTTTAATACCATTTTTGACTAGTTGGGCGCATGCTTTGATAAATCCTTATTTTTTCGCCCAAAATCCTCCTGTGAGGGGACATGCCCGATCTAAATCTAGGAGGCCTCCAACAGTGGTCCGAAAGTGGGCAGCAAACTCACTTCGAGCGTCTGGGGCACTTTCGTGGCGCAGGCGCCGCGCCAGGAGAAGCCTGCTCCCGCTTCGAGCGCGCCGCCTCGCTCCCCACGCGCGGCACCCGTGGGCGCCTCGCGCAGTGGCCGGCGTTCTGGCCTGCACGCCACGTAGACCGAAATCTGGCTTGTCCCTTTACAGGAGGAGTATCCAAAAATACTTTCAAACATGCTTTGGGGACGATTTGTTGATTATTATCGTTTTGAAGATTCGTGGGGCAGAACACGACGCAGTTTTGTTTGTTGTCACAAAACCGCGTACCTAGCAGCGTTTCTCCGTCCTGCCCCCCTGCCGCGGGCACCACGAATCGCCGCGCGGCCCGCGGGGGGGGGGGGGCGGGGGGGGCGGTTTGGAAGAGGTTGGAGGAGGGGGGCGCGTTCAGGTCCTCGTGTGCTTCGTGTTCTGGGTCTTGGTCCCCTTCATGACTTTCTCCCCGCGGTGGGGGGAGGGTAAGCAGACCCCCGCGCACGACGCGCGGCGCAGGGGCGCGCAACGGCCAATCGCGAGTCCTGCGCGCTCCGCGCGCGCGCCTGCTTGCCGCTGTAGCGGCGTTCTCCTTTCGCGGCCAAGAGTACCCAACGCGGCCAAAAGTGCCTAACGCGGCCTAGAGTGCCTAACGCGGCCTAAAGTACCAAACGCGGCCAAGAGTGCCAAACACGGCCAAGAGTGCCAAACGCGGCCTAGAGTGCCGAACGCGGCCTAGAGTGCCTGACGCGGCCAAGAGTGCCTAACGCGGCCTAAAGTGTCAAATGCGGCCAAGAGTGCCAGACGCGGCCCAGAGTACGCGACCAAGAGTGCCAAGACGCGGCCAAGAGTGCCAAGCGCAGCCTAAAGTGCCAAACGCGGCCAAGAGTGCCTAACGCGGCCTAGAGTGCCGAACGCGGCCAAGAGTGCCAAGCGCGGCCAAGAGTGCCAAGCGCGGCCAAGAGTGCCAAGACGCGGCCAAGAGTGCCAACCGCGGTCTAGAGTGCCAAACGCGGCCAAGAGTGCCAACCGCGGTCAATGGTGCCAA